AAATATTTATATCCAATTTTGGCACAAACAAATTAGGGAATGCCCCTTTATTCTGTTAACCAATTGTGAGTTCCCGTCTCCCTTTGCACCACTCGCGGCCGCCATATTGTTGCTTGCAAGGGTGCACAATGTCATTTCCAGTTCTGGCCACTATGCATTCCAGCAGCCATGTTTTTCGCTCCACCAATGATTCTAATGTGCTGTGGCAGTGTTTCCTTACTTCAATACGTTTTTTTTGTAAAGAAATTGTAACCACGGCTGGTTCCCTTATTTACCACTATAATGTCTTAAAGCATAGAACTTAGCAGGGCTAACCCTAATTTTATATAGTTAGTAAGAGATCCTCTATTTAACATATATAAATAATTGAGAATACAATATAAAATAAGGATTGTCTTGGAAGCAATAGTTTTGTCTTTTAGATATTTATTAAATAAAAATATAAATATAGACATATAAAATCCATTATAGCAGAGTTTATAAGATTAAACTAAATGCTTGCAAATATCATTAATAGGTTAACATACCCTCCTGAACATGTCATCATGTCAGCCTCTCTGTCATTTTAAGATGGAGCAACGTCTGTCTCCAAGTCTCTCCTCTGTCCCTTAACATTTAAAAGTACACCTATTTATACCTTAGGTGTCATCATTTTAGGGTTACTGTAGTTCATATATGAAAAAGTAACTTCTTTTACTTTTATTCATTTTAGGACCTCCCTTATCTTGGCCAATATACAAGGACATAACTAAAAAGTGTACACATCATGGGAATTTTCCTGACTTAGGTCAAGATGGCATCTTAAAGTCTGAACATCTTTACTTACAGTTACCACAGTATATTATGTACTGAAAGAGTCGTAGCATAGCCTTGAAGCTTGTTTATGCATTATTGTTATTGTAATTCGTCTGGGACAAAATGGCGTAAACATAATATGAACTGAAGGTAAGCTTAAAGAAACATGTATGAAAAACAATATGTTCCATTTCTAACACCTTGCCAGTTTGCAATAACTCTTGAAGACAAAGTACACAGTTTGATGAATACAATATTTGCATTTGCCCATAACAAAATCTCCTCCTGCAGCCTCACACTTCTTAAAGTTCCTCCTTCACTTACCCATATGAGTACATTTCAATGTAGTAATATTCACAGAAATTATCAATGGCCATTTGAAAGTCCTCAGTCCAATATATATAGAGGCACATTACATATATAAAAAACCAACAATACATAAATTATATCTAAAAGGTATAGTGCACTTACAATATATATATATATATATATATATATATATATATATATATATATATATATTGCACTTATACATTTATAAACTTAAATACTAGGTACACTTCTTAAAGTACACTTCAAAACCTTATTTTAGATATTCTTTAAATGTTCACTATCACTTTCAGTGGTCTGGTGGTTCTCCCAACATATCGGAGACCACATTCCCATGTTAAAATATATATAATGTTACTTGTATTGCACGTAATAAAATTATTTATACAATACCTTTTCTTTGTAACGTTAGATAAAAGGTTTTTGGTTTTTTAGAGATAATATTAATTGCCGACAATTATTACAACCTTTTTTAATTTTGTACCAGAAATATTTGCATTAACCATTTCTTTTTTTGGGATGCAACTTTTTGCTAAAATATTTTTCAAATTTCTTGCTCCTCTATTAACAATTTTTGATTTTTCTCTTATGTATATATTTAAGTCCTCATTTTGTTTTAAAAAATGCCAAATTTTATTTAATTTTATTTCAAAATATGACTTTGAGAACTAAAGTTAATGAAAAAAGTGACCTGTTCGTCCGGTGTATTGTGTTTTTGTTTTTTTTACACAAAGATGGGTCTTCCCTTGGTTTATCCTTTACTTCTTTAAATTGTCTTCTTCATCTATTGTATATCCTTTCTGATAAAACTTTAACATCTGAGATTGTTCTAAAAACAACTCTTCCTTTTTATAATTTCTCTTTAACCTTGTAAATTGCATTTTAGGTGAAGTGGCAACTTGTTTTCATCAATATAACAATTAATATCATCTTTCTTCAAATAAGTACAGGTTTGGAGAAAATTGGATTCTATAAAAATGTTTAAATCTCAAAAATGAACTTCTTGGGTTTTAGGAGTTAGAATTAAAAAAAAAAATGCATCTAAAGAGGCACGGTCTCCCTTCATATAAAAAATATATAATCAATAAATCTTTTATAGAAGACCAAGTTCGCAACCCAGCCATGCTCAGGAAAAACACAGAATATTTCCCAATAGGACATAAATAAATCAGCATAACTAGGTGAGAACATGGTCCCCATTGCCGTGCCTCTTTTTGTAAATAAAAATCCCCTTGAAACCAAAAAAAATATTATTAAGAATTACTCTCTACACCATTTAAAATTCTCTAAAATGTGTAACAAATTCATTGTATCCTTTTGATATGCTGTACCTTTGACCACAATGGGTTGTAGCAGGGTGTCAATATATTGTAACAGGGGGATAATAAAGTATCCACCCTTGCCACAATAGGCCTACCTGGTAGACATTCAGGGTCTCTATGTAATTTTAAGATGTAAATTACAGGGATAATATAATTATTTTTATTTAAAAACCTATACTCATTTTTATTTAAAATACCCGTATCAATGAGTTTGACAAGTTTTATTTTTAATGTCCAAATCTGAATTTTTATTTAGTTTACAATATGTGTGTGTAGCTGACAGTTTAAAAATTTCATCCATATAAAAAATCTTCTCCATAATGACCACCCCTCCCACATTGTAATAACTACAGCTTGATCCTCCTTGAGGTCTATGAGAGCATTCCCCCCCCCCCATGTTAGATTATATTACAATTTAGATATGGGTTTTACTCTCTTCAAGCCAGTTATAACTGCTTTTTCAAATGCTTTCATACTAGGGGTCTTTAAAAAAATTGGATTTTGTTTTTAAGTCTGGATGTGTCACGGTGCAACCCGAACCCTGCAGATAGCAATGTGTGGTCGCCCCTTTAACGGGCCTGGCTGGGTTTGAACTCACAGCTCTAGCATCCAAGTCAGGTTCTCTACCATGCTGTCCACCAGGGGGCTTCAGTATCTGTTCTGCATTATTCTGCTACCTGACTCCTTGGCTGGATTAAAGGGACTCTCCAGTGCCAGGAAAACAAACTGTTTTCCTGGCACTGCAGGTCCCCTCTCCCTCCCACCCCCCCATCCCAAGTTGCTGAAGGGGTTAAAACTGCCCACGCTCCTCCCCTGCTGACGCACGCGCATTAGACCTCCCCATAGGAAAGCACTGAAAAATGCTTTCCTATGGGGGTTTCAGTGACGCTGGATGTCCTCACAACCCGGAAGTGCCCTCTAGTGGCTGTCTAGTAGGGTAAGTAGACAGCCACTAGAGGTGGAGTTAACCCTGCAAGGTAATTATTGCAGTTTATAAAAAACTGCAAGAATTACACTTGCAGGGTTAAGAGTGGTGGGAAATGGCACCCAGACCACTCCAATAGGCAGAAGTGGTCTGGGTGCCTGTCCATTTAACCCCTTAAGCAGTGGCGTAGATACCAGGGTCGCAGGGGTCACGGCTGCGACCGGGCCTGGCCCACCAGGGGGCCCGGCCGCCCCTGCTACCCGGTATGTACCCACAGGGCCAGCCTCTTCTCCTGGGGGGCCCAGGAGGTGGCCACCTCAGGCCCCCCGAGGCTGGCCTTGCTGACACCAGGCAGGCAGGTGGCCGGTCGGGCAGGCGGGCGCGCGAGGGAGCACTCTGCTCTGAGTGCTTCCTCTTCAGCTCCCTCGTGCACTGCACTGATGCCGGAGCCAGAAGATGACGTCATCTTCCGGCGCCGGCATCCCTACGCGGCGCCCAGTGACCTGCCGCCCAGGAGCCCAGCAGCACCACCACTGGACCCCAGGGAATCCCCCCAGCACTCCAAAAGGTAAGGAGGCTGGGGGGATTAAATTTGAAAGAAAAAAAGTGTTTGTGTGTGTGTGTGTGTTAGTGTATGTGTGTGTTAGTGTGTGTTAGTGTGTGTGCGTGTGTTAGTGTGTGTGTGTCAGTGTTTGTTTGTGTTAGTGTGTGTGTCAGTGAATGTGTCTGTTTTTGGGTGTGTGTCTGCTAGTGAGTGTGTTACTGTGTGTGTCTGTTACTGAGTGTGTTTGATGTCTGTTAGTCAGTGTGTGTTTGTCAGTGAAAGTGTATGTGTTGTAAGTGAGTGTGTATGCATGTCTGTCGCTGAGTGTGTCTCTGTCAGTAAATGTGTGTGTCTGTTAGCTAGTGTGTATGCGTCTGTTCGTGAGAGTGTGTGTGTGTCTTCAGCATTTACCTTTCTCCAGTGTCGGACTCCCCGTGTCCGCCTCTCAGCTCCGAAATGCACATGCGCGGCAAGAGGCGCGCGGGCATTTAAACTGCCCATAGGAAAGCATTACTCAATGCTTTCCTATGGACGTTCAGTGTCTTCTCACTGTGATTTTCACAGTGAGAATCGCGGAAGCGCCTCTAGCAGCTGTCAATTAGACAGCCACCAGAGGCTGGATTAACCCTCAGTGAAACATAGCCGTTTCTCTGAAACTGCTATGTTTTCAGCTGCAGGGTTAAAACTAGAGGCACCTGGCACCCAGACCACTTCATTGAGATGATGTAATCTGGATGTCTGTAGTGGTCCTTTAAGTGTGTGTGCATACCGCGTGCATACAGCCCTGCGACCAGGTGCCCGCCACCATGTGTTGCGACCCCCACTAAGCGGGAGGGCTCCACGGATCAATTTTTGCACCGGGGCCCCATGGGTCATGTGTACGCCACTGCCCTTAAGGACCAAACTTCTGGAATAAAAGAGAATCATGACATGTCACACATGTCATGTGTCCTTAAGGGGTTAAAGGGACACTCCAGGCACCCAGACCACTTATGCCCATTGGAGTGGTCTGGGTGCCATCTCCCACCACTCTTAACGCTGCAAGTGTAAGTATTGCAGTTTTTATAAACTGCAATAATTACCTTGCAGGGTTAACTCCACCTCTAGTGGCTGTCTACAATATATATATATATATATATATATATATATATATATATATATATATATATATATATATATTGTAGACAGCCACTAGAGGTGGAGTTAACCCTGCAAGTAAAAAAATAAATAAACAAGATAAGTGTGGGGAGACTGAGCGGAGAAATACAGACAATCTGCACATATTATCCTCTCTAGCTATATATTATTTACTTATTGCCTATTTTACCAATTATATATATATATATATATATATATATATATTGAGCTGATGTGATCTGGGTGTCTGTAGTGGTCCTTTAAGTGTGTGTGCATACCGCGTGCATTTTTATAAACTGCAATAATTACCTTGCAGGGTTAACTCCACCTCTAGTGGCTGTCTACAATATATATATATATATATATATATTGTAGACAGCCACTAGAGGTGGAGTTAACCCTGCAAGGTAATTATTGCAGTTTATAAAAACTGCAATACTTACACTTGCAGCGTTAAGAGTGGTGGGAGATGGCACCCAGACCACTCCAATGGGCATAAGTGGTCTGGGTGCCTGGAGTGTCCCTTTAACCCCTTAAGGACACATGACATGTGTGACATGTCATGATTCCCTTTTATTCCAGAAGTTTGGTCCTTAAGGGCATTGGCGTACACATGACTCATGGGGCCCCGGTGCAAAAATTGATCCGTGGAGCCCTCCCCCGCTTACTCTGCGCGGGTCGGGGTCGCAACACATGGTGGCGGGCACCTGGTCGCAGGGCTGTATGCACGCGGTATGCACACACACTTAAAGGACCACTACAGACACCCAGATCACATCAGCTCAATATATATATATAATTGGTAAAATAGGCAATAAGTAAATAATATATACCTAGAGAGGATAATATGTGCAGATTGTCTGTATTTCTCCGCTCAGTCTCCCCACACTTATCTTGTTTATTTATTTTTTACTTCAGCCCCCTCCTGCTTACCTTTTCTGCAGTGAGGGGGCTATTGCCTACTTGGTGATCCGATGTGCTGTCAGGCAGATCATCACCTCCGCTCCACGCTTGGAGCAGATCCCTTTGAATTCCCCCTTTTCGTCACTGACTGGGAGGGAGCATCTACAGAAAGCTGCTCCCTGCTGGAGGTGCAACCTGCAAGCACAGGGCTGGGCAATGAGATCTACAGCTCTCCCCACTGACCATCGCAGCTATGTCTGGAGCTCAGCAGAACTGGCGCTACGGAACTTGTTGGTGCTTTATAAATACTACTACTACTACTGATAATAATAGTAGTGCCGAATATGCTGTGTGGTTAGCCACTGTTAATGAAGTTTATTTGCAATAAGCACATTTCATTTTCAATGGTTATCGATTGGGGTATATGGATGCATACCTTGGCAATCGTGTAAACACAATTAGCATCATGAAGTGGTTAATTAAGCTATAGTTGTTTTGGTGCTTAGTGTGTTCCTTTAATGTGCATACAAGCAATATGACATTTTGTTGCATACATAATAAAGAAGACAATTTACTATGTGCTATCTTTTAGCTGAGCACCAAGATGTCTTTAAATTATACATTTTCTCTCCTATAACTATGTACCTTGTTTTGCTGTAATGTTTGCTAAAAATATTTGAGTCCCATTTCTGAGGTCTCATGTAATACACGATATAATTATATATTAATATGGTGAAATTATATTCTTTCAAGTTTTTAGCAATTTCAAAGGAACAACGCTGTATTCCTAGCACTATAGTGTCCCTCTTCTCTGGCCGCCCACTCCAACTCCACCTAGAGAGTGAAAGGTTAAGCAAATAGTTACCTGATACCAGCACCAAGGTCCATTGGTGCTTTCTCACTCTCCATCTTCTCCAATGTCACTGCAACCAAATGTGCATGACCGGCTAGTGCTCTGGCCTCAAGCCTTCCCCTTGGGATAGCATTGATTTACTGCTTTCCTATGGGGATTTGCAAAATGCTGAACGTCTTCAGCATGAGGACATCCAGTGTCATTTTACATAGTTAAACTCTGTTAAACTTCAGGAAGCAATTCTAGTGACTGTCTGGTAGACAGCTCCTTAAAGGCGGTCCTTACCCTGCTATGTAAATATTACAGTTTCTCTACAACTGCAATGTTTTCATTTGAAGGGTTAAACGAGATTAGATGAAGTGGTCTGTGTGCCTATGGTGTCCCTTTAAATACACTTGCAGTTCTCTACCACTTTTTTCTTGTTATTCCAGCCAGTGTTGGAGTTAAAAATATTTTGTACTTGTTACATCCTGAAAATGATGTTCTGGTGCTGTAATGTATTCACATAACATACGCATTTCTAAAGCAGTGTGTGTGCCAGTTTTGCTTGAATTATTTAAGAATTTGTTCCAAAGCCTTTGGGTAGTTTCATGTGTTAGTAGCAAAATCTTTACTGATGCCAAATGTGTTCAGAATGAAGTACCCAGAGATTTGGGGTAATGCATACATTTTGTATTGTGCTGGCCGAAAACACACATTAACAAATTTAAAAATAAGGAAATGCAGCTACTGACTTACTGGTGTAGGGCAAGAGACAGTGTAGAAAATAAGAGGAGATGGTTCTGAAGCTGAGAAATGCACAGGTTATTGATTTATGGAACAACTAGAGGAGGGGTACACCAAAAGTAGATCCTCAATGTTTCAAAACAATAGCTTCATTCTAAAGGCATACAAAGCATCATGGGGGTTGTAATTCTACAATATCAGGGGCTCTACCTTTTGGGTACCCCTGAGTTGTGGTGTACTTTGGTTTCGTGCTGCTCTAGGCATGACAAAAATCGAGCACTCCCCGAGCACACGCGCACACACCCTGACAGATGCACATTCACTGATATGCACACACATTCACTGACAGTCACATACACCCACTGGCAGACATGCACATCCATTGAAAGACATACATACAAACTCACTGGCAGAAACACACATACTCATTCACTGACAGACACACACACTGATAGACATACATACGCTCTCATTGACAGACACACTCGCTGAAACACACATATACACTCTCATTGACAGACACACACATCCAATCAGAGTCAGACACACACACTGAGACACACATATAGTCACTGACAGACAGACACACACACATACACACTCAGTGATGTACACTCTCTGACAGACACAGACACTAACTGACAGATGCACACTAACACATTCATTGACAGACACACATACACGCTCAGTGACAGACAGACATTCACTGACAGAGTGCTCCCTTGCCCCCAATTCTTTCCAAAAACAGAAAATATGCCAGCCTCGGGGGGCCCAAGGTGGAAACTGGCCACTTGTTGGGCCCCCCAGGACAAGAGGTTGACAAAGCATCTGCCGGGGGTATTTGGCGGGGGGGTCAGCGTTTTTGAAAGCCGCCCCCCTGAAAGTGCCGCCCAAGGCAATTGCCTTGTCATCAGCCTCGTGCTTAATGCAGCGCTGCCCCTGAGCTAGAGTAAACCAGGCAAAAAGATTTAAGAGGAGCGGTCAATTCTTTCATGTTTACTCCGTTTAATAAAAGAGAAGGCAAAGCCAGGATAAACATTGCAAATGAAGAGGGGAAAACCAGAAACCTTTTTTATACTCAGCATAATGTCTATATGATGTTAAAATTAGGGTTAGATTTAGAGAGTAATTTTTATTTTGAGATTAGTGACACATAGGGAAAAAAAAACATTAAATCTAAAATAATGTATAGGGTTAATTTTAAGCCATATTCCTAGGGTTAGAGTAATAAGAGTAAGAGAGGTTAAATCAGTTACGTAACCCTAATTTTAACCCTCGTTTAACACTAAATGTTCCATGTCCTTGTGCTTTAGGGAATGCACTAACTATAATGTCAGTGTCAAACTAGCATTATTTACCATCCTGAACCTTGCTGAGTAATCATTACTATTCCATCTGATGCCTTGTCTTCTGGAGTGACGCAGTGGTCCCCAGCCTGCAATAAATTTCTCTACCAGTCAGGAGTGCTAGCCTGCATGTACAGCACAGGCAACAGCTAATCTGCATCACTGAATGTGACGTGGGTAGAGATTTCTGACAGGGTAGGGAAATCTGACAGAAAAATTGATTTTCCATTAGGCAGAATAGGCACCTGACCACTAGGGAAGCGCCTATTTGCAGCACTTACAATGTACCTTTTTGAGCTTAAATAAGATGGAGGGGAGATAAGGAGCCTTTGTCAGTATCCTATATACTTCAGTTAGCCTTAAAGGACCACTATAGTGCCAGGAAAACATACTCGTTATCCTGGCACTATAGTGCCCTGAGGGTGCCCCCACCCTCAGGGTCCCCCTCCCGCCCGGCTCTGGAAAGGGGAAAAGGGGTTAAATTTACCTTTTTCCAGCGCCGGGCGGGGAGCTCTCCTCCTCCGATCCTCCTCCGTTCCTTCCATTCGGCTGAATGCGCACGCGCGGCAAGAGCTGCGCGCGCATTCAGCCCGTCGCATAGGAAAGCATTTACAATGCTTTCCTATGGACGCTGGCGTGCTCTCACTGTGAAAATCACAGTGAGAAGCACGCAAGCGCCTCTAGTGGCTGTCAATGAGACAGCCACTAGAGGATTAGGGGGAAGGCTTAACCCATTAATAAACATAGCAGTTTCTCTGAAACTGCTATGTTTATAAAAAAAATAGGTTAACCCTAGAAGGACCTGGCACCCAGACCACTTCATTAAGCTGAAGTGGTCTGGGTGCCTAGAGTGGTCCTTTAATAGCAACCCTACAGGGACAGTTTTAGAGGGTGTAGGGTGTAAAACTCAATTCTGCCCCACCTTCTCCAGTGTCTTTGTGTGGGGCTGGAAAGGATTAGGAAAGGGAAGAGTTACACAGAGGGCCTAGGGGCACAAAGAGACAAACAGAGGCGCTGGGGAGAGAAGAGAAACACAAAAAGCGGTTGGGGAGAAAGACACACAAAGGGGCTAAGGAGAAGAAAGACTCCCACATATGTGCTGGGGGTAAAAGACACACGGAGGGGCTGGGTAAGGGGAAATCACACAATGGTGTTGGGGGAGAGAGATATACAAAGTGGCTGGGGGGAAAAAGACACACAAAGTTGACATTTGTTATAGATCCAATATTGATCTTTGTTATACTCAGGGGAACCCAAATTGTATCAAGTGCACTTGAAGAAGTGTGAATTAGACACCAGACGCGTGCTAGTTATCAAAATAGGCCTCTGACCTTTATTTTGTCAGTTGTGTTTTTATATATTAAAAAGTAAGTGCTTACGTGCATATACTCATAGAACAGTAGTAGGAAGGGAGTGAAAGGTGAAGGGAGTAAAGATAAGACATAGGGATGAATGTCATGTACATATAACAGATAAATTCCAGGAAAGAGAAGGAACAGACTGATTTAGGAGAGACAGCTCAGGTGGGGGCTATCTGCTCCCGGAACTAGTCTTAAGTGTCGTTTTAAGCATTAAGCATTTCCTGAGT